GGATGGGGGGACCCTGCAGCTGGCTGATGCATACAGATGTTCTGACATCTGTCCTCTGTCAGATCCAAAGCCATCTGAAGTGATGAGATGCTGCCATATGCCCCAAATGACACACAGCCAAGGCATGAAATTCGTTAAATACCGTTTCCCCCCGCCCACATCAAAAGCAGACTGTGACAGGGGGGACGTCCCCTCTTTCTGGGAAGCCGTGACTGGCTGTGTGTTTGAGCCATAGAGGTCTACACATCCATAAACCCTGCAAAGTCACCCTGGAAAGGCAGCTGCCAGCTGTCTTCTCCTGGACGAGTTAATCGTACAGTTTAAAAAAAAAATTCTGGACAACGAAGGGACACAGTGGATAGCAACAGAGATGTGTGTTAGATGGAGGAAACAGCTCTCTGTTTGTTTTGACATCAACCCCCTCAGAAAACCTGCAGAAGACAACTTCCTGTTGGGAATAAACGCGTTCCGTGTGCACGCAGAGGAAAAGTCTCCGAGGCCTACCGACGGGTTTGGATCCAGAGAAAAAAATGTGTGCTGCGTTCGAAAAATGGATTAGTGAAACTATGTTAATCCAGGACATGATGACACGCGAACCTAAAAGCTCATTGGTTGCCTCATTGGCTTCTCGGTTAATCATTTTAATATGCGACTCAGGCCGTGTGTTTTTTTTGTTTCTTCGGGGCAGATCTGCTGTAAAAGACACAGCGAGGTCTTTCCTGGTCTGGTCAGGACCATTCCTCTGATCCTGGACGTGCTTGTAGACGGACTGTGTTGACCAGAGGCAGCCGGCTGGGTCTGTTTAACTTCCTCTTCCTGTTTGGGAGGGGTCCACTGATGGTGGGAGTCAGGCTGACCCCCCCTACAGGCCCACTCAGCTCTTAGTCCTTCTGGGAATGTCAAGAACTACTCTGTTTCTGCTTGTATTCCGTCTCATTTCCCCCTCCAGGCAGAGTTCACGATACCTGTTTTCACTAAATGAGGCAGTTTTTCTTTGGGCTTGCATTTTGAAATTTAGCATCAGATTATCGTACTTTTTCGGGGTCTCTGTTAGAAGATGGTGACATGCCCCCCCCCTCTCTCTCTCACCCCCAA